AGAGAGAGAGAGAGAGAGAGAGAGAGAGAGAGAGAGAGAGAGAGAGAGAGAGAGAGTTAAAATAACACAGAGTATATTGAAAACATGGATGGACTTCAACACAAATATAAACTGTTTTTACCGTGTAAAGTGGCGCGAGTAAAAAATGAAATTTCCTGATAAAGGGAAGAAACTATTTTTCAACTTGTGTGACAGAAAATTATCGACTAACCCAATAATATCGAGGAAAAGAATGTACTTTTAGAAGCACGATCGAATGTCGTTTTTGTCATTTTCAGTTCACACACATATATAATATGCTTACCCAATACATTCATGGTAATAATTCACAAAATCACGTTTTTTTAGTTGTGTCACTTTTGAAGAAAATGCGATATATTTTACATTAAAAGTTCAAATGTTCGTATTTAAAAAAGCCAAAATAACAAGAGTGTCCCGAGTTAGGTGTCAGTGTTATCAATGTTCAGGCATCGGCACTTTTACCTCAAATCTGGCCTCAGGCTCGAAATTCTTTCCCCGACCTGGAATTCATTCGATTGCATCGCATCGGCCAGGCTTCCTCGTATTTTCACGTCAATTTATTATTAGTCGTTCGTCACCGCCGATCCCGTCGAGCGTGTGCGATGAGCGAGAATCGGCCTTTACGCGGCGTCTTCATCCGCGAAACAGCGCGACGAGAGAGGCGAGAAAGATGGATATTCTATTTGCGAAACGTATTACCGGCGAGTGTCGTAGTCGCTGAACGGAAGCGGGGTGCAGGCGTGTAAACGGTCGTGCCATCGGAATTCGTCGCTTCCCGTTGTCACGTTAAACGCGTTTTCTGCTCTTCTTTTTTTTCACCCCTCTCCCCTGATAACACACGGGAACGTTTAGTCACGCGTCAGCGGCAACTTTATTAAATTCTCGCGAGGATTTATCGGCCGTTTGCGCCGATCTCCCGGACGGTACATACACGCGCATACGTGACACTGTGTGTGTGTTTGTTCGTATGTATGTGTACACGAGAGCGACGATAACGCGCGTGTCGACGTGCAGTTTCGGCGGAATAACTCGCCGATCTGATGGTATGCAAATGCGCGCATATTCGTCATTTTACCACCAGCGAGTTCGAGTGATGCACGCGCGTTTGATCGTTTTGTAGGAAATTTGATATCGATGGCGAGATTCTCTCCCGGTAGTCAAGCACCGGTTAAATATCGCGCTCGTAATCGGGCTTTGATTCGATTAACTGATCTCCGCGAGTGATTATCGAGCGATGTAACGATACACGGTGTCTCGTTTGCGTGTATACGTGTGTGCGTGTGTGCATGTATGTGTGCGTGTGTGTATTTGTACGATTACACGTGCCATTCGAGCAGTCGCGAGAAAAGAGACCGAGAGAGGTATAAAAAAACGTGAAGACACGTGCTTCTTGCGACGCACCCGGCGCCGTTAAAAATATTCCGCGCGGTACCATTAGAGCGTATAATGGGCCGAGATTAATAGTGCGTGTAACTCGCGTACAGCGCGCTGATATATAATACGTATCCCCCGTGCGGGAAAATGTCAAGCGGTGAACCAATGTTTGACGATGACGCCGATGTTACCCTTCAAAACTGTCGGTTCATCCCCCGGCACTTAGGACACAATCAAGTTCCATTTGTCTACGCGTCTCCCCGTCTCGTACGGTCTCTCTTTCTCTCCCCTCCGTCACTCTCGTCTCCCACTCGCCCTTCCGCCACGCGTCCCTTCGTCGGCCGTTCGTTGAGTCACTGTGCCGTGCGCGAATCGAATTGATCGTTAGTCGAAGTGGCGATTTTTTCCACGCCGAATACCTGCGTGGCGCAAATCGAGTTTCGTCAATTTTCGATGTCGCGCGACATTTTTGTGAGAGGATCCCGAAATCGCGACTTGCTCACGACTGCCTGGACCGACGCTCGATGAAGATCGATTGTTCACACTTCCGCGGATCGAATTACCGTTTCTCGGAGTTCCCTCGAAAATCTCATTCGCGCGGCGGAGAAAATACAATAGAACAGGTGTAAAGCACGACGCAGCTTTGCAATGTTCGCAATTGCATTTTCGCGGTTGCAATTACATCATTTTCCTTCTCCCCTCCTTACGTCCTCCCTCTCTCTCTCTCCCTCCCTCCCTCCCTCTCTTCCCCTCTCTCTCTCTTTCTCCTTTTCTTTTTCATACGAGGAACACGAATCGCGAGAAGAAGGAAAGTAAAGAGAAGACGCGAAAGTAAAGTGGAATTATTCGCGTAATAGGCACTGCTAGGTGTACGCCGCGCGGGCGCGAGACTCGTCCGTGTATGCGGCGCGTTTAATTTCGCAGGTAAATGAAAAGTTTTGCCGGTAGAAACAGAGGCAGATGCGACCGGCCGAGTTGCCGCGACCGAGGTGAACGACTCCTCTACGCGACTACTTTTGCCGGTTTTCCGCTTTCTCACTTTCGAGTTCCTTGCCGCGATAAGTTACACCGTGCTCTCGCGCGTGCCGCCCCTCTAGCAATAGGATCGAACGTTATTTAAATCATTTCAGCTTGCCCGGCCCGGATGTCGATGTTCTCCTCCTTCCTCCTCCCCCCCCCCTTCTCTCCCCGGACACGCGGAATCGTTCGTGGATCTTCGATTCTCTTCCGCCGTCGCGTACAACCGCACGGAACCGGCACGTCCTCCTGTCGCACGTGTTCCCGTAGATTGCGTACATTCCGATCGCGAGAAGCGTCGCGCCCGATCAGGATTGACGGGTGTTCGGCCGAATATTCAACGAGGACACTTGTTATCGATATTAATATTTATATCGCGAATAATACGGAAGACTCGCACGAGCTTTCTCCCCCGCTTTACGAAATCTCCGCGAAGCGAAACATCCTTCTCCTCCTATTTCCTCGTGTGCGAAGTGGCCATTCTTTGCTTCGCCGCATATTTGTGCGCTTCCGATCGACCGATAATTACATGTCGCGGAATCCGTTCGGGCCCGTCACTACGCGTCGTGTCTCGACAAAATTGCCGGAGTTTTGTCTGGTTAAACGGTCGTGCCACCAACGCGGCGGCCACGTAAAGGGGATTCCCTTCCTCCCTCCCCCTCCCACGGTGTATCTCGTACCGGCAATTAGTCGGAAAAGTTACGTAAGCTTTGCCAGACCGGAATTTCTAACCGCGCGAAATTAAAAGCACGTAAACGAAATCACCGAGTCACCCTCCGACCGCTGGAGTTCGCGAGAAGATCAGTTCTAGCAAGATTTCGAGAAAATTAGCTGGAGTCAGACGCGTTAATACGCGGATCGCGCACGGGAGGATCTGCGATAAAATGTGAGACCTTTCGGATATACGGCGACTTCTCTCTTGGGAGTTTCCTTTTTTTTTTTTTACATAGAAACCTCGGCTGGATATTTCCATTCGCGCCGATTCATTCGACCGAGATAATCCGAATCGAAATTTTAATTCTGTATTAATCTGACAAGAGAGAGAAAGAGAGTTACACATTGAACTTGAGGAATGAATGGAAAATTTCAAAGTATATATAACGCGATGCAGACTATTTTCTACATTGAGAAAAAAGCGTCTGGCGTTTGCCGTTATATGTAATTTTTTTATCTTTACATGTAAATATATTTTTTATGTGTCAAAGGGGAATATCTCCTGTCTCAAACTTTTAATGATACTAATAATAATTACATAAAAAATTACAATTAGGAGAGCCATTTTTGTACTACTATAATAAGTACTATAATAAGTATTATTATCAGTGATAATAACCTAACATGTATATTGCTACTATTATTTTTTTTGTCATAATAAGAAGATACAGTTAATTTCGAAAAAAAACAACAATAATTTTGTCATGAAATTAGGTTAGGTTAAATTAGGTGAATCATTTTTTCTCTCTGTGGATCTTTATGTTACAAATATCTACCTATAGCCGTTTCTTTCATGTTTAAATGTTCAAAGCAGGACTTATTCGAGAATTATCTAATATCCGATTATTTTGTAATGTTCTAAATTTATTTAGGTCGTACCAGAGATTCACTGAGCCATTATTATTTGCCAAACGATGACACAAATTATACGAACGCCGACCTGAATTTTGACTG